AGATACACCTCGTTGCATCTTGTTTACCACCCTATTCCGTATACCGGGTTTTCTATCACAGTTGCGTCAATCTACTTTGTTGAAGTTCACACTCACCTTGTTTAATATATAGTGTCTCCTTGTCCCTATTATGTATGTGTATATGTGGAGGGGGGGGGGGGGCTATGAACCAAGACGTCATAATGAAAGATGACGTCGCAAAGCATTGTTACATGCCGACACATTAAGAGATTGACCAGTGACATCATGTCCAGTGTGTTACCCACTAGTCGGTAACAAAAAAATGTTTACCATCTCCTAGCAGGTTTATCAATTTATCAACGAGTCGGGAATGAGGAAACCTACAGTGAGTGTGGGAGAAATATGACTCTATTTAAACAGAAATTCGAACCGTAAGAGTACATATGAACCTTTACAATACTCGATATTATCATTTTCCTCACTCGGTATTTCCAAATGAAAACGATACGTGCCTCTTGATATATAAAACGGTATTTTATTCGTGCTTCTATATTTTATTGAAAATATTATCAAATATATTTATCGCGTTCTTATCAAATATCCGCACGCAATATTCTTTTGGCATCGTCCCACAGCGCAATGGCGAAACATTAAACCACATTTTCGTTAGGATGGTGAACTCGTTCTAGCGTGAAGACTAAGCTAATACAATTAAACAAATATCATCAACTTTGTTCTGAAACCTTGGGTGTTGCCGGGTGCCATAGAGTCTATTTTACGGTCAATGCACAGGCCTCCATTTCAAATATCATGGATATGTCGGCAGAAATCGAGATCTAACGAAAATTGGATGTGACATTTTGATAACATCACACCACTGGAACAAATTGCTTTTCCCAGAAAGTCCCCAGGAGGATTGATTGAAAAAAATCGCAAGTAAGACTATTATATGAATATATTTTTTATTGTTTTCATAAAAATTGCATTTTTATAACCAGCGCATCATATGTCGACTTATTCATATTTTCAAGCTCCGCTGTTAAACTGAATCCCGTGTTCCTTGTATTGCAAGCCTATTGCGTTATAGGAAGGCTGTCGTTCGAGTATCCTCGGGACTTGTCACTCACCATACCGGCGACATGTGACGTCTTAGGCCACTCGGAACTTCTCGGCCGATACGGTCATCTAACGTTGGAAGGAACTGGAATCGGGGCGAGGTGTTCCGAATGGTCTTAGGCCTGTTCGTTTATGCGGAACAACCGATTTGTCTGTTTTAAATGTAACATTTTCGAGTATAAATCCTGGTGGAACTGAAAATGTGTATGCAAGTCTTGCAAGGCTTTGTCAAGGCTCGCCTGAAAGCAGCATCAGATTACCGCGTCCGACGTTATATCTTACAACTCTGGTCGAACCGGTTCAACCGTTTGGACTGCGATAGGCTTTGTCAAGGCTCGTCTGACAACAGCATCAGGTTACTATAGGTCCGGCCTTATTTCATAAACGAACAACTTTGATCCAACCGGTTCAACCGTTTGGATCGCGATAAACGAAAACGACCAGTGTTGTTATCACACGAAGGCCTTGTCAAACACTAGATACTCAAATCACAAATATACATGTACCTATCTTAATTTTGTAGATATAGACACCAGGGTCTAGTTTAAAATGTGATTAGCTTAATAACTGTTTAATGACGTTTTTTCTAACAGTTTGGTCAATATACAAGATAATAATCTGTTATTTTGCATGTAACTTTACTTTGTGTATGCATGTACAATATGGAAAGTTTGAACGCAGGAAATTGTTGTTTTGTATAGAAAGAAAAAATAATCATTGATCAAGCTTATCACTTCCTGAACTATTGAAACCCGTTTTTTTTACAATTCATTTAGATGCTGAAGTGAAAAAGAAAAAAAAAGGATTTTTTTTTTTTTTTTTTAATAATTTAAATATCTTGAATTAATCTAAGAGCCGTATATCATCCCGATAGCCTTGAGGCCCGAAGGCCGATATTGGGCGAGGGTTTACACGGTCAGATATGATTCGTGCAGGTAGATATGATACGTGCAGGTAGACATGATACGTATGGGTAGACATGATACATGCAGGTAGATATAATAAGTGCAGGTAGACATGATACGTGCAGGTAGACTTGAAACGTGCAGGTAGGCATGATACGTGCATGTAGATATGATAAGTACATGTAGACATGATACGTGCAGGTAGACATGATAAGTTCAGGTAGACACGATACGTGCAGGTGGACATATACGTGCAGGTAGATATGATACGTGCAGGTAGATATGATACGTGCAGGTAGACATGATACGTGCAGGTAGATATGATTCGTGCAGGTAGATATAATAAGTGCAGGTAGACATGATACGTGCAGGTAGACTTGAAACGTGCAGGTAGGCATGATACGTGCATGTAGATATGATAAGTACATGTAGACATGATACGTGCAGGTAGACATGATAAGTTCAGGTAGACACGATACGTGCAGGTGGACATGCTACGTGCAGGTAGACATGTTACGTGCAGGTAGACATGATACGTACGGTTAGACATGATACGTGCGGACAGATATGATCCTCGGACAGATATGATGTGTGTGGGCAGATATGGATCGATCCGAAATATAACCTATGCTGAGTTAGCAGCATCGCACAAATTTATCATGATCAGAGCTAGACATCATAAGACCATATCCTCAGCCCCATGTAGGATATTGGAAAAATATTTGTATAACCCTTATTCATAATATAAACAGTAAATCATCAAAATCATTACTTTAAACACAAATCGGTTTTAGATGAGGCAAAACTAACATGAAATGTTTTGAACCGGAAGTGAAAAGTATATGGAGCGTGCCGCGCATGTACAACTGTATGGCGCGTGCTGATTGGTGGATATTGCGTATGCCGGGAAATTCGTACCAAACATAATAGATTTCCACATCGTACACCTGTAATATACATCAATTTTCGGTTCCGCATGCAGTTTATTTCAGCGGGAACTATAATCGATATTCAATCTAGAATTATATCGTCATAATAAGAGTTCCATGTACATTTTTAAAATGTATCTGAGATGACGGTTGTCAGTCACATTAACGATCGCACGAGTTATGAAAATAAAATCTATAAACGATTAAGGCGAGCGTGTAATATCTGCATTGAAAACGAGGTGTCAATTCTCATATCATGCGAATGAAATGATATCATCTCTTTTTCTATGGTATTATTTCAGGTTCCCTTCACAACTCATTTCTCTTGATTTACAGCTAGCTGTTACCCAGAGGGAGAATATTTCTCGAATCAATAAAATATGTGCTTGCTAAACCTACAGGAAACGCCATTTAACCAAACAGAATCATCGTCTACAGCGATAGCACCGAGGTGTTGTAATATCTAATAACCGGAACCGTCCCGCGATCACCAATATCCGGAAAAGTAACAGATCAGGCTGTAGCTCATCACCGTAGGCACAATTCATCAATATTCATGATATAAAAACAAATAATTGTCATTGAACTGGCATCACTTGCAGTGAATTTCGAGTTCAGAGTGTTTATTTTGCTGTCTCATTTGCGTTTCCCAATGAGAGATGCTTTTATTTTTGTGTGTGTTTTTTTCGAAATACTTGTGAAGAAAGAGATGTGTGCTAATGCGTTCAAATTTTACACCAGTTAATAAAATGACAAGTGATCATGAGTCATACAGCCTTTGATGATTAACAAATCGTTATAATTGATCGTTCACATTTCGTATTATTATTCAGCGTTTTTAATGATAGGAGTCTGTTTAATATCGAGGTCAGAGGTCACCTTCGGCAGATGCAGAAAATCGATACCCGGCTTTATGATCATATTTCATAAAAGTCGTTGTTAAAAACTGTTTTGTAACTAGCAAGCTGTGGTTCATCTCGTTTGAAACACGCCTTGTTCTTATAACCAAAATGGTAGCGAGGAGAGGGAAGAAGCAGAGGGGCGGGGTTTAAATCTTATTTATGGACCGATATACAAATATCTGATATTAAGATGATTTGTCATGCTCATAAATGTGTTTATTCTACAGCACCAACTTTTCTAGATACTGTTTATTAATATTTAATATTTACTATTATTCAAATAAAAGCTATCGGAAATGTAAAAAGAAAAAAAATGGAGCCTTGTTCGGAACTATGTTATATAAGAAACGATCTACAATCGAGGCCTGTTCCGTGTCCGGATAAAGCCGGATGGTTCGTTCTCATCCTCACACGGTTGCTTAATTATCTCACTTCCGATGTAATGAACGCCACTTATCGTAAATAGTAAACAAGTTTGAAGCCATACCCGTACGATATTACCTAGACAAATTGCACTCAATATTGGAACTTACGGAACCGAAGGATTTCGATTATGGCTTAGCTAGCGGAAATATGTACGAGACTAATCACAATTAATCGAGAGGAAAAAAACATTATTTCACGGCGATTAAAATTTAATAAACTCGCGTCTGCTTAACAAGATAGTGCAACCTGACAGAAAAATCGATACATGCCACTTTATGGAAAATTCACTTTGTCTTCGCGATGGGCATTCGGAATACATCGGTCGATTTCCTCCACCCCAATCTAAATTTGCACAATCTAAATTCGATTTTACAATCGATCAAGGTGGAATACAAATAAAAAGGGCGAGTTGTTCCGAAGTTTGGGAGCTTGTTATGGTATTTAAGAGCCTGAAAATGTAGCTTTTCAGTAAAAGGTGGTCTAGGAGGCTTAAAAGCAAAAACGTTTTGTTAGCAAGAAAGATGCATTCCAAATAAACTGTACTGTTATATATTTAGAAATTCAAAATTTCTCCTTAATTAAGAGACACGATCAATTATGACACTGCTTGTTCCAAGTCGACACAGGAAAAACACAACATATAAAATAGCACCAATTTTCTCGTATTCTGTAAGTTGTTTTTCGCCTTGTTTCGGTTTCTCTTCAATACTATTACATTTTACAATAAATTTTTAAAAACCTTTCTTTTCATATATTTTCAGGCAGGATGACGCGGCCAGCGTGTGTTGTCGTTGCGCTGTTGTCCCTGTTGGTGACGTCATGCTGGTGTGTCGAGTACACGTGCCCCGAAGAATGCACGTGCTCCCACCGTGACAGCCCGGACCTTCTTGTCGATGTCTTTTGTTCCTTATCAACCGTCCATGACAACAGTAACTTCGCCCTATTTCGAACGTCAGTTAACAGTACTTTGCACTTGGAGTGCGACCCTCAACTACATTCCCATCTGAGAAGTCGGATGTTCCAGGACCTCCACACATTTTCAGCACTCACATTTGAAAATTGCAAATTTGATCATATTCCGAAAGATCTGTTTGTGGGTATGTCATTGTTAAAAATCCTTACCGTGATAAATGCTAGAAAGTTGACCTTTGACCCGAAGGCGTTTTCGAGCGCTTCATCTTTAACACGCTTGACAGTTGTGGCTTCCGAAGTGTCAGTAGTGCCAAGTCTGTGCGAGAATAAGGATCTTGTTTACGTCAACTTCACAAATAACAAAATTCGGTCTATGGCCGATGCCGGTCTTGCCTGTGAAAATAGCACACTTCTGAGTCTTTCCAGAATCGTCCTACCGTTTAATGAGTTCGAATACCTCGGAAATGAACTTTCGTCTACCGCCCCAAATTTGTGGGAGCTAGGGATAAGTAACAACCGTATTATGACGATACATCGAGACGCCTTTTGGTCTCTCAACGACCTTGGTTGGTTAGATCTGTCTTCCAATCGCCTTCGAAGACTTCCGCCCTATCTTCTTCGTAAACAAGAAAATCTACAGATAATCGCATTGAATGGAAACAATTTAGGCCGAGTTCCAGAAGGTTTCTTCGGTTATTCAACAAAACTCCGTGTGGTGACTCTAGGAGACTGCAACATGGACGACCGGATATGGACAGAGTTGTGGCCCCTGCGAGAAATGACAGAATTACAACTCCAGAACAACAACATCAGCAAGCTTGACAGGGAATCGCTGTTAAGATTCGAAAAACTGTTTTATCTGGATCTGTCTGGAAACCGGATACGATATCTAAGTGAACGTTTCTTCGAAAAACAGTTACAATTGGAAAAATTAAAACTTGGGAAAAACAAAATTGAAAATATTGACAGGCATGCATTTGAAGGTTTGACTTCGCTGTTGGAGTTAGACCTTCGAAACAACAACATAAGCCAAGCTGATAATGAATCTCTGCTTCCGCTTCAGTCAGTCTCCCAATTAAACATCTCTTTCAACTTCCTGTCAGAGATACCGTGTCTAAAAACTATGGAACACGTCAATCTTATCGACTTCCGGTTTAACCGAATCGATACTTTGGATTTAAATACGTTTGAAGGTCTTCCTACTCTGAAGGGTATAAGCCTCGCTTTCAATAACATACGCGTTGTACCACGTGGCGTGTTCAACAAACCGCCGTCTCTTCAGATTTTGAATTTGGCATATAACGACATTGATGTGATCGAAGACGAAGCTTTTCATGGCGCTAGTGAGCTGAGATGGATGTTCCTTCAACACAACAACGTCAGTGACGTCACATGGGCGTTCAGTTCCCTCTACTCACTCCTCCATCTTGATCTGAGTTACAATGCAATAGCCAACTCGGTTAACGGGGAACAGTTTCCGAAATCTCTCCAGGAAATCAATTTGGCGAACAATAAGATCACGAGCGTTGCAGATTATGCTTTTTATAATTTCAAAAATTTAAGAAAAGTTGACATTCGTTATAATCTTGTACAGACTTTAAAATTGTTATCGATTTCCGTGTCACCTGCCTTGCAAGGTACCCCACCAACTTTTTACATCGCTGGTAATCCGTTTGTCTGCGATTGCAAGTTACAGTGGTTGAGAAAGAAAATGGAAGAGAGTAGACCGTCTTATGGTCAGCCGATTATTTACGATATGGATGTAATACTGTGTCACCGGGGATTCGAAGCTCAAAACAAGCTCCTTTATAAACTTGAGCCATCAAACATGCTTTGCAATTACTATGAGGAATGCCTCATGTCAAAATGTCGGTGTTGTGAGTTTCAGGGATGTGTCTGCAGATTCGTCTGTCCACACCGATGCACGTGCTTCCGTAGTCTTGACCACAGTACGACAAACTTTGTTAAATGTTCGCGTGAAAATCTTACTAGTATTCCCTCCCATATCCCAAGCGTATCCACTCAATTCTGGCTGGACGGAAATAACTTCTCGAGTCTCACGAGATTTGGATTTCTTGGACTAGAGTTTCTGAGGATACTCTATCTAAATAACAGTGACATTGAATCTATACAAAATGGGAGCTTCGTGGGACTAAAATCAATTGAAGTGTTAAATCTAGACGGAAACTATCTGGAAGATGTGCTGTATGGAATGTTTTATGGACTAGAAAACCTTGTCGAGCTAAACTTGGAAAACAACAGAATTTCTTTCATTGATTATTCTGTGTTTGAACACACTCCAAATATCCAGAGACTCTACCTAGCGAATAACCAGCTAAAATTTATAGTTGATGCAACGCTTTCTAACCCCATGTGGCATCGACTGTCTTTGGCGGGAAATCCGTGGTCATGTGACTGTAACTTCCTGTCAATGATGCTCTATAATACGAACACGATTGTAGAGAAAATTGTCGACCGGAGGGATTTGGAATGTGTAGCAGACGACACCGATGTTGACAACATATACGCTTTCAACAGCAGGCCCAATAGAGCTGTAAATTTTGAGGATGTAGATATGGAAGCGATGTGCCCAAATGTGACATTAGTGTTTAGAAATTTGTCACGTGAAAGCTTAACTCGTGTCCTTGACCGCACAGACAACCTCCCGCTAATTTGTGCTATCGTTGCAATTGTCGTTGTCGTCGTTGTTCTTGGGCTGGTGTTTTGGCACAAGAATATTATCCAGGTACTCTGTTTTGCAAAATTTGGATGTCGAATGTCACACGAGAAGTCGGACGTGAACCAAATATATGACGCTTTTATATCCTACAGTCATAAAGATGAGGATTTCGTGATTCGGGAACTTGTTCCGAGACTTGAAGATGTGGACCATCGGTTCAAACTATGTGTTCATTATCGGGATTTCCCTATCGGAGCTTCAATATCGGAGACTATCGTTCGTAGCGTGGAATGTAGTCGTAGAACCATACTTATCATGTCCGATAACTTCCTGAAGAGCGAGTGGTGCCAGTATGAATTCCAAACGGCTCATAGCCACGTATTACAAGACAGGACAAATCGTCTTATTATTATACTGCTGAGTGACGTTAATGTAAACGAAATGAGCTCCGATCTCAAACTATACCTGCAGACACGGACTTATGTAAAATATAGCGATCCCTGGTTTTGGGAGAAACTGTATTACGCTATGCCAGACATTAAACACCGGGTTACTCCGATAGATAGAATTCTTGACATCAGACCGGAAGTAGGTGTTGGAAACACTTCTTCCGGTCTCCCAGACGACGAAGGATACGAAACCCCGATATCACGTGTGTCTAGTGTCCATCGGCACACGTGTGACTTCGGTCACATGACCGAAGCCGTTGCAAACTTTAATATTTATGAAGAAATCCATCCTGTTGAAAAATCGGAGAAGCAAATGGCTTAAATACACGTGTATTAAAATGAGTTACCATTGTATATGAAATTAATGAAATGAGCATGGTCGAAAATGAAAATGAAAACTTCAGAAAGAAGTTCGTCAATCTCATATAAAATGGAAGCAAATTCAAGTTCCATTTTATCATGTTACCGAGAATGTATTCAAATATTCTCAAAAAGGGACTTTCCGCAAGTCATCAAACTCGCTAAATAACTCTACTTTGTCCAGTATGACGTCCTTATGTAATGACGTCATTTAAATTGTCTTGGTTATGACTTCATAATGGGTATGAGGTAATACGTAAAATGTGACATGGTCGTATTCACTACTCTACTCGGTAGTCACGTGATAAATATATTTATTTAACATTGACATTTTATACTTATCTGTGATATATATATATATAAATATAGACTGTCCAGTTTTGGAGGGAAAACTTATTGTTTTGAAATTAATTCAGAGACCTGATGAAATAAAATAAAAAAAGGATGTTTTTTTTATAAATGTAAAATGACTTCGTATCTTAAATATATTGCATACAGGCTTTGGAAAATGTAGAGATTCTGAAATCGGTGAAACCCCGATAGTCGTAATAAACTGGTACAGTATCTGAGCAGTGAATTTTTCAAGACTTGAGAATATATTTGTCACTTGTTCTCACATTGCATTGAAATGATGAATAAAACGAGTTTTCCGGATTAACGTAATATTAACCGGATAAATGAAATCCAGTTAAGCGAGGCTTTCCGGTATTTTTCGTTAATGCGATCACGGATAGAGGACAAACAAAAAATGAATAATTTATGGTTTTCTCCTAGGCTTCAAAATTCTGCTTAGTAATGTGACAAATAATTTTCTTAATTTTTCAGAAATGTGATCGTTAAATTATATTAATTAGAAATTGTTTGAAAGGTACTCAATGAATTGATTTTATTAGCAATGTAATTGCAATGAAATAATTAAAATAATTCTGTTATTAATTTAATTGAAATCTGGCCGCATGATTGATTGACATGTGGAACTGTGTATAATTTCATTTTAATTTGCTCAATTAATTGCATATTTCAATTATAACAGAATCTAGCGTGTTTTATTTTCTTTATTTCCCAATAATAATGAAAAATCCGCAAAGTCTTTGATCCGCTAAGGATTTGATTATACAAGGGTTATCGACTGAACTAGCGCAAGAGAGTACCCTGACGAATTCTGTTCTTAACAATTGTACTTCAATTATGTGGTTTTGAAACACGATTTCCTCGTCGAATAAAAGAGAGAGAAAACATTCCAAACCTGAAACAAATTTGATTTGTTCATCAGCATTCATTTCTTAGTACCTGTATAAGGTTTGTATTCAGTTCAATCGCTGCGTGCTTTCGGAACACCTCGGTTTTCCGTAAATCATCCTAGTGACACTAACCGGAAATGACCGAGATATTTCTTTATTTTTGTTTATGTATTTATTTAAATAAAATGGTTAACTCTGTACAACTCAAAGAATAACTTATATACTACAAAAAAGCTGTATCGGGCTGTTTACGCTAACATACTGCATGCAGCACACACACATTATACACACATAAATTACACACACACATACATTATACACACATACATTACACACACAGACATAACACACACATACATTATACACACACAAACATTATACACACATACATTACACACACAGACATAACACACACATACATTATACACACATAAACTACACACACACACACATTATACACACATAAATTACACACACACATACATTATACACACATAAATTACACACACACACACATTATACACACATAAATTACACACACACATACATTATACACACATAAATTACACACACACACACATTATACACACATAAATTACACACACACATACATTATACACACATAAATTACACACACACACACACATTATACACACATACATTACACACACAGATACATTATACACACATACATTACACACACAGACATAACACACACATACATTATACACACATACATTATACACACACATACATTATACACATACATACCATACACATATATTACACACACACACACACATATATATATACATTACACACAGGTACATTACACACACATAACACACACTTACATTACACACACATACATTACACACAGATACATTACATACACATACATTTCACACACATACATTACACACACATACATTACACATACACAAACACACATATGTATATACACATTACACACACATACATTACACACACATACATTACAAGTACATACATTACACACACACACATATATACATTACATACACATACATTACACACAGATACATTACACACACATACATTACACATACACATACATAACACATACATTACACATACATAACACATACATCACACATACATACATTACACACACACCCATATATATATACATTACATACACATACTTTACACACAGATACATTACACCCACATTACACACACATACATTACACGCACATACATTACACATACACAAACACACATATGTATATACAAATTACACACACATACATTACAAGTTCATACATTACACACACACACATATCTACATTACATACACATACATTACACATACATAACACATACATTACACATACATAACACATACATTACACATACATACCTTACACATACATCACACATACATACATTACACACACACATACATTACACACACACACATACATTACACATACACATACATAACACATACATTACACATACATACATCACACATACATTACACACATACATTACACATATATACATTACATACACATACATTACACACAGATACATTACACATACACATACATAACACAAACATTACACATACATACATCACACATACATTACACACATACATTACACACACATACATTATACACACACATACATTACATACACATACATTACATACACATAGATTACACATACATACATTACACATACATACATTACACACACATACATTATACACACACACACATACATTACACATACACATACATAACACATACATTACACATACATACATCACACATACATTACACACATACATTACACACATATCCATTACATACACATACATTACACATACATACCTTACACATACACTTACATTACACATACATACGTTATACATACACATACATTATACACACATACATTACACACACACATACATTATACACACATACATTATACACACACATACATTACACACACATACATGATACACACACATACATTACATACACATACATCACATACATTACACACATATACATTACACTCACACATACATTACTCACACACATACATTACACACACATACATTACATACACATACATTACTCACACATATACATTACACACAAACATACATTTCACATATGGAGGCACTTCTATAGATAAGTTTAAAGCTGTTGGTATGACGTTCAACCCAATTAATAATATCTGACTTTATTGACTTAATTATGATAAAAAAACATCTACTTTGTATAATTTTAAGGTTAACTTAGCCACAACTTGCTATTACTTCCAAACCATAAACGCTCTTTTTATTAAATGTTCCTGTACATTGCTGCAAAACCAAGTATAGATTGCTGTGCATTTTAGGGAACTGAGCTGTTATGCATTAAAAATTGATATACTGAATATCATGACCTGACCGGAAGCGTAGTGGATAAAATAAATAAATATTAAAAAGGAATTCATTAGTTCATTAATCACTAAATTAATTACTAAATATATGTAAATAAATAGATCTATAAAATAATCAATTAATTCCTCTGCTTTATACTCAACAGGTTCAGAGATGGAATTACTGTGTCTGAGCTGAGGTGCTTTGTTAAAATAGAAAATAATATAAACAATATAATGATTTCGTATGTTAAGATTTACTCAAGTACATAGTAAAGCAAGTACAAACCAGAAAATGCCAAACAAATAGGAACTCTTTTTCGTTGGAGACACGAAACGGTAATGAAACATACTCCATTAAGTTAAAAAGTGATAACACAAACACACGAGGTCAGGACTCGAGAAAATGTCATGAGCAGAAATGTTGAATTCATTAAATACATAACGAACTTTCAAAAGTAATTAGATAATCTAGGTTTTTTTTATAATTCAAAATCATATTAAAATGTCTGCTGTTTAAAGCATGTAGCTGAGCTTACATGTAAAAAAAACTATTGAGACTATGATTTTGATAAAATCAATTATCATCTATATACTACTTTATACCACCTACCGGTAGCATGATAAATTCATTATCATGTGTTGTCAGTATGAGAAAAAGTTGAGAACGACTTGGGAACAACTTGAGAAGAACTGGAGAACGAATTTTCCCATTCCCTAGCACTTTTTTTTCTCAAAAGAGAACGTTTGCTCGCGTCAGTAGTCTCGTTCAACCAGACTCTTGTTGTCTGCGCAAGCTACGTCGAACAGAGAAAAGTGATCAAGCGTCTGGTTGAGCGAGACTACTCGTGCCATATGACGTCCGAAACCGGAAATAGTGTCCACACAAAAGTAATCCGCGTTAGAAAATAGTCCGTCATAAACATATCAATACAAAGTTACGGAAAAATACTGTGAGCATAACAACACCATTTCAGGTGTAAATGTGCATATGAAAAAGCCAATGAAGATAGGATTGTTTAAAAAAACAAGTTCTACGTAATTTTAAGGTTCATTGTATTCCTCCGCGCAAAACTTCGTTTTGTTAACATTTGTCTCAGGCGATCGTTGACCATTGAGCTTAGAAGTCATGTGGAAAACATGGTGTTTAGTTGAGTTTTTTAAATGGAGAAATATATAAAGGTAGTAGTGTATATAGATGATAAATAGTCTATCATACAGTATTTTCAGGGTTTGTCGTTCGAACAATTTTCTCGTCGCTCGCACGTACTGTAGATACTGCGGTGCGGTGGCCTCTCGATTTCACGTGCTCGCAATGAGAAAATTGTTCTCGCGACAAACCCTGCAAATACAGTGTGATAATCTATAATTATCGAGCGGTAAATGAGGGAAAAACTTGTATCCTCTGGAG